GTATATTCTTTGGTACTCGAAGTTGGAAGAAAACAATTAATGTTGAATGGAAATTGTGTTGCTTCCCATCGAACCACTTGAAATTCCCTTGGAGAAAGTATCGTATTCGAATTTACTTGTTCTCTCATTACTCGTCATTTTCTTTTCTTTTTTTTTTTTTTCTTGAATTTCGACCATTCTTCGAATAAATGTTCAATCACTCGTGATTGAACGTACATCTTCGTCCCTCCATCGCCATAAGAATCTTTATTATTTAACGCACAAATTGAGATTCGATTAAATTAAAAAAAATACTTTTATAGAAACGAACCTCTTCCAAGATACACCACTCCCTTTATACCTCATCCATTACTTCGTCCAAAGAAGCTACTATAAAACAAGCCAAGAAATGACGCAAGAAAACGGAGCGACACTGGCATCGCGGTGGAACAAGGACGATAACGACAAAGGATGGCAAAAAGCCGGAGTGGACGGGGTAGAGCGATCCATATCAATTTATCCGATCGGAAAATGATCACACGCACACACGCACGCACGCGCGCACGCACACGCGCACAGAGATCGGGAGCAAAAGCTCTCCTCTCGATGCTGCCGTCCTCCCGGTGTCCTCGGTCGCGCGAGCGGGTTCCTCGCGGCGCGCTCGTTAAAGATCACAGCTGAAATATCGCGTTCGCCACGATACTCTCTGCGTTCGGGTATATTTGAGGCCACGACTCTCCTTCACCACGGTTACGCGTCCTCGTGGCTGTCGCCGTTGAAAAAAGCTTGAGCCCCCTTCGCTGCAGGACAGCATCCACTGTCGGTCACTGATCCTTCTGGCGTCGTCGGCTCTGACCGTGGCCGTTTCGGTGTAGATATATATTCAGCATTGCCGCGCACGGTCCACGTTCCAGCTTGCTACGAAACGTGCACAGGTGGACGAAGAGACAGAGAGAGAGAGAAAGAGAGAGAGGGAGGGGGCAACGGTAAATGACAGAACGAAAGGAAGAGAGAGAGAGAGAGAGAGAGAGAAAGAGAGAAGAATGGTGGGCAGAAGCATAGCTGGCGCATTATCACATACGTTAAGTTTTTCTACCTCTATTGGCCCAGAGCGAGGGCACGAAAAACGACTGATTAATCGAACCAACACGGCGAACATTCTTACGGCCGTATATACAGGCTGGAGAACCAGTAGCTCGACTCGCCTCTCTCTCTCTCTCTCACTCTCTTCCTCTCCCTCTGGAACACCACACCCTGCGCACCTACATTCGCACGGATGTCGGGAGAAGAGACACGAGGCGGCACATCGAAAAACTCTCTCTCTGTTCCAATACACAGTCGGGCCCGGGGCCCCAGTTCCGCCGATGCCTCTTCGGACGAAAACCGGAATGCGTTTCTTATCCGGCTACTCGGCCACCGCAAGGGGT